CAGGAATAGACGAGACGTTACACGAATTCATGTGAGCATTTCAATTTCTTTTGATTACTGTTAGAAAAATGCTAACGTATATCGTTGTAAATTTGAAATTTACTGCTTTTCAGTTAACTATAAAATATTTGGAAATGTTGAAAAGATTACCGAATCTACAAATTGGTCTTATGTTAGACATGGCTCATCATATGCAACAAAATCTTCTGATAAAAAGAACTCGAAAGTTGTTCGAATTGGTGTGTCAGACATATTACACTGTAAGTTTTAATATGTTGAGATTGACTTGCATTATCTTTCTAATAATTTTTCTGAAATTCCATCATTTTTAGGGTAACTTGAAAAAGCTGATAGAAAGTGATGAAAATGCTGAACCTATTGTGGAACACATGCATAAAGTAGAGCAATTTGAAGCCGAAAAGCGTGAAGTGCTAAATATCACTGAACAAGATATCGTTACTGTTGCTCCAGGTCTTTATGGTCAGATTTTAAATGATATCTTAAAGGATATCATGTTTTTATGATTTAAAAAACTCATCAAGTTTGTGCGTTATATCGAGCTTATGATATAGCAAAGACGGAAATATCAGACTATCTTAGGCGTAGAAATGAAATTGATATCTGAGTATTTCAGTTTCCCAAGAGATTCAGTCTGGGGATTTTGCTATTATAACACTGAGAAATTATATTCAAACAGGCCAGAACTTGAGATAGCTTTCTGAAAATTTTAAACAATTTCATTAATTAATATACGTATTAGTATATTTAATATCTATTTAAATTATATTGAAGATGTTTGAATTAGGTGTCTTCAAGTTACTCGCTTCTTTTTTCAAATCTAAATGAATGCGAATCATTTTCAAACATACCACTTTTACAGGTGCCATTCAGGATTTCTTCCGAGTTCATTTTGCAAGTACTTATTCATTATCAATAACGTGTTGTGCATTACATCAGAAAAACATTCTGTATCGTGTGGTAAGTTTTCATTCCATTAAAGATATTAATGGAACTAATTTTTTTTAATTCATTCAGCATTTAAATTTTTTATCTTCTCAAGCTCAATGTATCAAATGCATTTTAGGCTGATAAGAAGTATAAATTAACGAAAAATCAGATTGCTATGCCATATGAATACCGATACAATGTACCATACATGATATTCGGTAATTTTGGTTATTGGTATTCACGAAAAAGGAGACGGTTCGAACTTCATGATCTTCATATTTTATCTTTCCCAATATTGCCTTGGTATAAAGATTTGCCCGGCACAGAGGGGAAGTTCTTTTCACCAATATATGAACGAATCCCATTGTCTAAAACTATTTTTAATTAGGCAATGATAACTTGTGATTAACAAATTTGTTCAGTAGGAATCATATTTTGTATATTTCTTTTCTATAAATTGGACATTTTTATTAAAGCTGATGATGGTTTCACTGTCATCATCAGCTTTATGAAGTATGGAGTAGAACTTGTTATGCATTGTTATGTAGTATTTATGCAAATTATATTATGCATTTTTTATTTAGATATTTCACAGAGTCAAATTATAAATTTCGATATCGAAATTTTCTTTTCATAATTATATCATTTGTCTTTTATTTATTGTACTTGTTTTGTTATTGTTCTGCCTTTACTATTTAATTAAAGTGATTTATCGTAGTAAATTTTTTCACTGATATTCTTCGTACTATTACATGACTATCAGAGTGATCTATTGCTGTCATTAATGTACTTTTCACTTATAAATACTCGTAGAAAATTTACTTACTAAAAAAAGTGGATAATGATGCAAATAAAGATAACATCATTATTAGAGGTATTTACGTACTGTTTTCTCATGTGCGAGTTGATAGGTTTATTATCATACCTTATAAATTATTATTGTTGCGTATAATTTCATATAAATTTTTATCTTTTGATAATATATGAGAGGTTCATCGGTAAATATTGGGAGGAAATGAAGAAAGTTATCATTCTTTATGGTTATTGGCAGTTCATTCATCAAAAATTCTCTCTTAGATATGCAATATTTTTCTCTTTTATTCCTGATTCCTGTAACATTTGATTGTTTTTTCTTTTTTGATTATTTATAGTGATAATTTAATCATTCATTTTATTGTTTTTATTATATAAGAAGATTTATTCGCAAATCTTATTTCATAGAAGTATTTGGGAATAGATTTTTGGGAATAGTACTTAAAGATTTTATCAGTTGATTAAGTAAGGGATTACTGAATTAAACTAATACGAAATTCCGTCCTTTTTTTCTTGTTTCTATTTTTCATTTAAATTAGAAATACAATTAAAAAATTGTTATATTACTGCATTATTGTTATTGCCTTCAACTTTTGCATTGGTTTCCATTTTTATTTTTTTCATTAACAAAGTACAATACGAGTTTGTGACTGACATATTTTTATTCTGTAACAAAGTTTTGTAAAACATTTTAAATATGATGGATATCTGATAGGGTTCAGTATTGCTAATGCATTCTCGATTAAAATCTCGATTATCTATCAATTATTACACTGTTATCAGTAAATAATGAGAGGAAATGGCATATAATTGTTCAAATGATAAGAGAAAGATGGCGTATAATTGATCAAATGAAGAGAAATACCAAAAGATTGAATTTATCAAAGATGAAGGAAAAAAAATGAACAAAAGGAAATAGAAAAGAAAATAGTCGTATGAAAGGTCTTTTAGGGAAATTTACAAGGTTTGTCTTTTTTTGTAGTATAATGATATCAATAAAACAGAGGGAATATTTCTTATTCCTTTCATTCCCTTTTTATCACAAATATTTTACTATGCAAATAATATTATTGGAAGGAAGAATTATTTTTACTCTGCAAATAAAGATGCCATAATAATAAACTAACATTTAGGAAAAGAAAAAAAAAAACATGTAAAATATTAAGTGTTTTCTATAGGAAAAAAAAGATTTGTTGACAATCACACATATATCATTATACTGATAACAATATTAATGACTAATGATAATAGCATTGATGACTAATAATTATTGATATTGTTAATATATAACTGATAAATTAAGATGGACTATTAATGGTATTAATAACTTTAATTGTAAATATAATTTGTTGCTCATTAAATAATAATAGTCTAGAGTGGGTATTAATGATTTGTGATATTATCATTGTTCATATGATATCTATATGTTTTATGATTTATTATTCATACGTAAATAAGCATTAGCTGATTGTTATTAGAATATGAGTTTCACAATTACTCTCTCATATTCTAATTATTATCATTAGTCATTAACATTGTTATCAGTATAATGATATGTGTGATTGTCAACAAATCTTTTTTCTCCTGTAGATAACATCGTGCTATTTTATATGTTTTTTTTTTCTTCCTTTCTAAAATGTTAGTTTATTATTATGGTATTTTTATTTGCAGAGTAAAAGTATTCTCCTTTCCAATAATATTATTTGTATAGTAAAATATTTGTGATAAAAAGGGAATGAAAGGAATAAGAAATATTGGAAGGAGAAAATATAAACGAATTAGTGTGATACATAGTGGTCATCAAATTAGTAATTTCTGTTGTTTCGTCGTAAATATCTGATTCTGACGATATTACTACACTATATCAGGTCATCACATTGGTCATCTTTCTTCTTCCCTAAACACATTAATATTATCACTAATCCATTCGTTATGCTTATTATAAAATATTTTAACTTTATACTATTTAATAATTTGTATTAATAATAACTTAATTTTGTGCTACAATTATTATCACATATAATGAATAAATTCATCTCTTTCTGCATCATTTTTGCAATAATTTCAATAATTTGTTCTTTCTTTGTTTTCCAAAAAACATTGTGTTAACATAATATAATATAATATAATATAATATAATATAATATAATATAATATTATCTAAGAAATGATTATTTCAATAATTAATTATCAAATTTGATGAATTATAAAATAATTCTAAAGTAATGATTGTATTTGTTGACATAATAGAAATAATCAGTTATAAAATTCATATCTGTGAAAAAAAAAAACTTTTTGCCACAAATATTTTGAGTTCTTCTTTCATCGAATCAATATATCAATAAAATTACAAAGATGCCGACATACGGACATATCGATCCATCTGTCTGTCTCTGTCTGTCTGTGATTGTCATCATCTGGGAAAAATTTATAAAAAAAAAATGAAAAAAAAAGATTAATAAGCTGATAAATGTGCGACATTGCAGAAAGTTGTTGTTGTTGTCGGGAATGAAAAGCAGAAAGTGGAAAATGATCGGTTGATTTCATCTAGTAAATAACAATTGAAATTTGTTTCAATATGACAATTTCTTTTTCACTAAAAGGTGTCATTCCATTTCACATGGCATTTTTGGCGTATTTCATGTGATAACAATGTTGATGCGCCACATGAATTTATCATTTTCAATTTTTTTTTCTTTTTGCAAATTTATTCAACAATTTTTAATTATTTAAGAATTTATATTATTTGATCGTTTGCAAAACAAGAAGAAGCAAAAAATTAGAAATTTGTAAATCTTTCTTTTGTTTTGTGAGAATATATTTTCGAAAATCTCCTTGCATTTCTTCTTTTTGTAATTAATTAAATTTTAATAGAATTATATTGCATTCAGTTGAACTGAATTGATTTAATCTTAGACATAAATTTTCCTGAAATAGAAAAAACTGTCGAATTTTTTTCTCTCTTCCTTTTTACATATATCATTTATTTTGATGAAAAACAGCGGAATGAAATGCCATAATTATTAATTGGATATTGTTCATAAGCGGTAAATGATACGAAATAATTTAATGCGAAAGTAATTTGATGAAAACAACTAATTTTGATAAGTATAAATGTTTTCATTAAATAAGCTTATGCTTAAAACTGAATCAATTTAGATCAGTAGCGTGCATCATCATTCAATTAAATTTTGATTAATTACAAAGAGAAAGAGAGCAAAAGAAAAATACTACATCACTCATTTGCCTATTTTTAGATTCTTTTGATATTCTCCAATCCGATCGTATATAACTAATGAATTATTGATTGAATAACCAATTACAGTAATGAGGGCTGCAACTGATAAAATATTAAATTTAATACCAGTTAGGCTGACAAAACAAACAGTTAAAATCGCGTCATGAAATAGTGCTATTGTTCTACCAAATCCACATTGTCAATTAAATCTAAACCAAACATAAAATTAATATTTCAACAATTGCAATAAACACAAGATTCCTTTAAGCATCTGTGTTGAACTTATTCGTAGGCCATAATAATCTATTTTACGGTACTTTATGGAGCCACCCAGCTTTTCTTCCAGTACACTTTTGACTTTTTAATTTTACCTTCGTTTCCTTTCTCTCCAAAACACATGACTAAACTATCACCAGCCTTTGAACTCTGCATCGTAAAACCATTTTCTTTCAAAATTTTAAGGACAGCATGGTCTTCGCTTGATGATTTTATTTCCATCAAAATTTCACCTGTAAAGTCTATGCCTGAATTCACTCTACGTAACAAGACAAAAAAAGCGAAAAAATAACAAGAATAATGCTAGTTAATGCAATCAGTTTCCTATGTTTACTATTCTAACTGCCATATTCTTTACTCAAATTGAAATCTATATACCATTCAAAAGATTCATTACTTTATTCTGTGATTGGATCATATTAAATTTTGTTTCCTTACACTTAAACAGCTCAAGTTATGTAATTCTGTCAGTTGATGAGCCAGTTATTTGGGAAAGAATGTCAACAGAAATTCCTGCTTTGAACAGATTTGAAATTTTAATAATTAAGTTTTGAACAATATTTCAGTAACTAATATAATTAATTATAATTATAATTCATTTTCACAATTAGAACTAATTTTTATTTCAGATTCAAATATAAATAAACAAGGAAATAAATTCTAGAATTATCAAATTTATTTTTAATTAAGTATTAAAACAATTAAAAAATGGCAATCCATTTAAAAAAAAAGTAGATATTAGAACTTAGCTATTTTGTATGCATTGCGCAGGAACTGATCATATATTTGACGGCTTAAATAATAAAAAAAAACTTTAATAATTAAGTTTTTAACAATATTCCAGTAGCGAAATTAATAAAACATTTAATTGGTCACAGTCTTAAATCATTTTTACAATTAAAATTAATTTTTATTTCAAATTTAAATTTTGACTTTTATGAAAATTTTACAATTTATAAGATTTTCTGTATATTAGACTGGGAAATAATTTCTAGTATTATCAAATTTCATTTTAATTAAGTGTTAAAACTTTTAAGGGATAGTAATTCATTTAAAAAAATGGATTAATAATTTTAAAAAAATATCAAAATTTAAGTTTGAATAAAAACTAATTTTAGTTGTAAAAATGAGTTAAAACTATGATTAATTGAAAGTTTTACTAATTTCGCTACTGAAATATTGTTCAAAACATAATTATTAAAGTTTTTTTATTATTTAAGCTGTCAAATGAACACACCGTATACGACCAGTTCCCGTATAGTGCAGATAAAACAATCAATTAAGTTGAAAATATACATTTTTTAAAATGGAATTGTTATGTTTAGTAGTTTCAAAACTTAATAAAATTAAATCTGATAATGCTAGAATTTATTCCCTTGTTTTTTTATACAAAAACTCCTACAAATTATAGGATTTTCATAAACATCAAAATTTTAATTGTAAAAAAAACTAAGACTATGATTAATTAAAAGTTTTATTAATTGCAATTAATGATGATTTCAATTAATTTTTGACCATAAAATTAATTATAATAACAAATTTGATATACATCTTTAGGAAATTTCAACAATTTCTAAGAGTTTCTGTAAATCTAATACTGATAAAATTTTTAATTTTGCTAAATTCCGTTTTAATTAAGTGCCAACAATGTTATAGGAATATAATTCATATCAAAATAAACATATTTTGAACTTAATTGATTATTTTATTTGCATTGTACTTGATCTGCTTACATTCTGTCATGGATGTTTGACAATTTATGCAAAAAAGAAAGTCTAGTAAATTCAACTTGAAGCAGCCATACAATGTAAAAATTAATTAAATTTGTGATTATAAATGATTTCAATTATTTTTTGACATTGGAATTAATTTTAATCACAGTTCTTGACACGCATCTTTAAGAAATTTCGACATTTCTCAAGAGTTTTTGTAAATTTAATATTACATTGAAATCTACATTGAAAGTTTGCTTCGAAGTTAATTTTTAAAATCTTTTTTCTCCCATAAAATGTCAAAAATTTGCGACAAAATGTAAGTAGATCAGATATAATGCAAATAAAAGTAATGAATTAAGTTCAAAATATATTTACTTTTAAATGAATTATATTTTTCTAGCATTGATGGAACTTAATTAAAATTAGAAAAAATAAAGGTTTTTTTAATATTAAATTTGCAAAAACTCTTGAGAAATGCCGAAATTTCTTAGAGATCCGTGTCTAGAACTGTGATTAAAATTAATTTCAACATCAAAAATTAACTGAAATTATTTATAATCGCAAATTTATTTAATTCCTACATTGGGAGTTTGCTTCAAAGTTAATTTTTAAAACCTTTTTTTTTGCATAAAATGTCAAATATCCACGACAAAATGTAAGCAGCTCAATTATAATGCAAATAGAATTATTCAATTAAGTTCAAAATACATTTATTTTTAAATGAATTCTATTTTTCTAACATCTTTGGCAGTTGATTAAAACAGAATTTAGAAAAATTAAAGATTTTTTTAATGTTTAATTTACAAAAACTCTTAGGAATTGTTGAACTAAAGATCCGTGTCTAGAACTCTGATTAAAATTAATTTCAATATCATAAAAATCAGTATTTAAATTTGAAATAAAAATTAATTTTAATCGTAAAAATGAATTAAAACTATGACTAATTGAAAATTTTATTAATTTCGCTACTGAAATATTAACTTAATTATTAATGTTTATTTTACTATTTTGAGCTGTCAAATGACCACGTATATGACCAGTTCACGTACAATGCATAGAAAATAATCAATTAAGTTGAAAAAATATATTTTTTTAAATGAATTACTATTCTTTAAAAGTTTTAACACTTAATTAAAATGAAATCTGACAGCACTAAGATTTATTTCCTAGTTATTTCTCAATTCAAACACTAAAGTGAGTCATGCCAGCATTAACGTTTGCATTTCTTTTCTAAATCATTCATTGCAGCAATGACTACAACCTAGACTGCGTGCAAAATAAGCTAAAAGCGCCAAAGAAGTTGTCGTCTTTTATTTTACCAATATGCACGTAAGCACAACAACCAATATGAATGAATGTGCCATGTTCATTTTGATGACAGTAATGGTTGTTGCAGAGATGAATGAGTGGGTGCAGTACATTTTCCTTCAGTCAAATGTTCACATGAATTTTTTTTAGCTATAGGCGCTGCAACTGGCAATGCTGGCAGTACCGATGGGACGCTGCTGCTATATTGTGTCAATCAGTTGTTTCGTATCGATGAACTTTCCTCTGTACATTATGGAACGACTAATTTTGCCTACTTATATGGTATACCCGAATGATTAATAAAGAATGTAAGGATGGAATCTAAAAACGATGTTAGAATAAAAGAATTCGAGGCGATTTTGCATGGGCATTTTGTACTGTCATCAGGGCTGCATAGTGATACATACACACAATGCGCTAAGGTTTTTGAGAATCCAAGGAGAGCAATGAAAGTCTGTGAGCTACTGGTAAATAAAATAAAAAAAAGAGCTAAAACTCCACAGATTTAATTAATACTCTTTTCTGCAATTGCTGAGAATAATTGTTGGTTTCTGCAAAAGGATGTTGTTTAACGAGTAACATTCTTTTTTTGTATTTCTAGTAAAGATTTGACCATAAAAAATTTCAAAATTTCATTATTACATAGTGAAACAACAGGATTTCAAAAAAAGTCTCTTCTATTTTCTCTTAAGAGATTTTTCAATCTATGTGATGTATAGTAGCAATGTGTTTATGTTGATTCTAATGAACAGTTTAGTTTTAGTTTACACAACTTTTTGAATGTGAAGGAGGCTAAAACTGCTTCTGAAGAATTGTTAAAGAATGAAGGAGTTAATTATATATATATATATATATTTCTGAAGAAAGAAAAAATATATATTATAAAGTGAATTCTCTTGAAGTAATAGCAACTATAAAAAGCAGAAGCGACCAAGTTGATAAAATTGTAGAAAAAGTTGAGCAATGCATTCTTATGATCAGCCAGCTATTGTAACAATATCTATAGAAGAAATCAATCATACTAATTGGGTTAATAGTATGTTATTGATGAGGACAGTTCTTGGAGTGAGTGTAGCCAAGTGGTAAGGCAGCGGTTTTCGATGTCGCTGTGTCAAAGTTCGAATCCTTCTATCCAGGCCGTATATCAACGGTGGTAGCTAGCGTAAGTATAAAGTATTAACACTTATAAATAGAACGGAAAAGTTTGTATGGAAAGTAGTAACTAATAACGCTGACGCAATAAAAATCTTAAGAGGTCATGATACTGTAAGGAAGCATCCAGGTATGTACATTGGGGATACCTGGTTGATGGGTCTGGTTTGCATATATATGGGGTTGTTGATAATAAAGTATAGATGAGTCTTTAGTGCTGGGGCATTATGACAAAATTGAGGTTAGCATAGATGGGGATGGCTCAGTATTTGTAACTGATATAATATAGTTGGCATTCCAGCTGATATTCTCACGAAGAAGCATTGGTAGTAATAATGACCCCAACTGCACGCAAGTGGTAAATGTGCTAGTAATATACCTATAAGGTTATACTTTTGAAGGTAGTGAGTGAATAAGAAGACACAAACAAAAGAGGGAGTAGAGTAACATTTGTAACTGAGATTAACGGAGACTTTCAGTAGTACTGATTTTTTCCATTCTTGAAAATCGTATCCAAGAATTAGCTTTTTTAAATGCAAGTATCAACATCACTTTGCATGACTTTCGTAACAAACTGCATGTAGAGTCTTACTTTAACGATAGTAAACAATCTAAAGACAATTTTGGCACAGCAAATTTCATGCGATTAGACAAGAATAAAACGTATGTTACCAAACTTACCAGCATGAAGGGTGATGCAAAAGATCTTGGTATTAGCAAAGAAATATGAATGAAGTGGAATGACTCCTACTACGAGCAATGGGATGGTGGTACACATTTGGCAGAGATGCAGACTATGTTGTTTATAGTATGAGTGACTAACTATATTAATAGTCTTATTAACTAAAGAACTAATTGTCTGTTCCAATTCTTCGTTTGTAATTTTGCATTTAAACAATTCACCAATAATGTTGAATTTAAAAGCGCTAGAAATGTTCTTGCATAAGTGCTCCTTTATTGGTCGTGATATTGTAAATAAATGCTTAGGAGAATTGAGATCTTTACCTACTTTCTTTCTGCATTTATCCAATATAATCATACTTGGAAGTCATCACCACCAACCGCAAGAACTGGAAACACTCCTTGGTGTAATTTCAATATGTATATTCCACTGTTATTGTTCTTTGCAATAGAATAAGAAAGTGCTACTGCGTTAATGAGGACAAGAACTTCTATGCCAGCTAATTTTGCTGCATTACGTGCTGAATCAAAGTAAGCTGGAACAGTAATCACCGCTTTTCTTACTTCCATCCCGGTGGACTTTTAACTCTTTCGCACAAAGATTTTTATATCTCAGCAAAAATCTCGATAGGAGTGAGATACTTATCATCCGAGCATTTTACTCTAATAATTTTTTCACTTTCATTATCTATTTCAAGATTGATACTTAATTTAAGTCTTCAACACTTTTACCCATCAGCGTTTTTTGGGATAGCGTTTTGGCCAGACGGTTTTTAATGTGTTATTTTCATATGAAATAACACATTAGAAGGCAGCAGCTTTTTTTTCCTGCTCATGTTTAAATATCACCACTTGCCAGCTTTATTTACCACGGAATTAAAGAGTTGGTAGTAGCAAGGTTTATACCAAAAATTACTTCATTTGAATTTGGTTCAGAAATTTTAGTCGCATTTTTTATCTCTTCAAATGATTTATGAGTATTTCAATCTCAAAACTCGTATTGCCACTTCATCAAAATTTTTTACGGTAAAATTATTAGTTGGATTTTCAATGCATTCTTTTGTTTTTTTCATCAATCATATCACTTGCATATTGGAGATTGTTGCAATCCAGTAAATACTCCCTTATTTCTATATATATATATCTTAAAGTTATGTTGATCCTCTTGGCTTCTTACACTGAAAAATAAGTAAGTAGCATGCTCCGCACTTTTTTGGAGACACTTTTTGACTATAGCACCTGATAAGCATTGTTGATATTTCTCATGTTTGGAACTGTCATTCATTTATATGAGTTTTGCTTAGCTCAATATATTTTTTCTCTAGCTCATCAAAGCTGATGTTAAAAGCTGGTTCAATTTTAAACAATGCGAAGAGACATAAAAACTCGCCCCACAACCACATTTTCTTTTCTCATTAAGATTTTTGAAAACAAAACCCGATGAGTATTTTTCTAATCTATTTCAGAGCCGAGAATAAACACGCTAGATTTTGGATCGATCAACACTTTAACTTTTTGACCATCACTACAGCTTTCTTCAGTTATTGACTCTAAAGGGTGCATATCACACGCATATTGAATATCGTATTTTAAACCAGACTATCCTTTTTGTCTAATTAGGGCTTTTATTCCTACTGCTTTTTCTGACCACTCAAGGTTAGTATACTGTTATTCATCCAATAAATATCGATCTTATCTTCTCCACTACATTTCTTAACAGTATTTACTCCTTGATATTCACTCATAACTTCTTAGCTTTCACTTTTTACTATGTTTACTTTGATAATCACGAATAGCGGCTTTTATAGCTTTTATAGTCTTCAGCAAGTACCGAGCAGTGTACCTTCACTGGAGGCAAAGATAACTCTTGCATTATTTAGGTGTTTTTTTTATTTTTGTTACATTTTCAATAGTTTTGCCTTTAATCATTTCTGTTAGTAAAGAGTTTGAGGCACTAGCAGAACCACAACCAACAGTTTAAATTTCTCATCTTCAATAACATCTTTGTCATTGACATTTATTTGCAACTCTATCACATTACCGCATGATGGTGTACCAATCAAACCAGTGCCAACACTCGGATCATTTTTGTCCAAAGAACCAACATTTTTTGGATTTTCATAATGGTCCAAAATCTTCTCACTATAATTGATAAGATTACCTGTAAATCACCATCCTGTATCATAACATTTTTAAATTAGAAATTAAATGCATTTTACTTTAAAAATGCACGTAAAACTTTACAAGTTGTATTTAACTTCACAAGTACACGTAATGCATATCATTCTTTATATTGTAATTCTAAAAGAAGTATTTCTATGAGTTTGTTTAGTAACCTTTATAGAGGCTTGTTAAAAACTTCTCGCTTCAGTGGTGGAGTAAAAAGTATTTTTTCTGACAAAAAAAAGTTAGATCAATCGCTTTTGGATGAATTAGAGGAATTGCTCATTAGCATGGGTATTGGTCATAAAACTTCCAAGTTTATTTTGATAGGCTCGCAAACATCAAATTTGATAAAGAAGTTGAGCATAATATTATCATCACCCAACAGCTAATGAACGAAATAGGCTATAGGCAACGCTTGCGTATAAATATAAGAATATGGGAAAATCTGTCATGCTCGTTACGTATGACACGTCTAGGACCGATGCTAGTGAATGCTAGTGAACAGTTAAACATGTGGGCAGGACGTTCTGATTGCTTTATTGTTATTTGAGAGTACAGTAAACGATTCTGCAAGTGTGGCGTATAGAGCTGTAAGTCAAGCTATTAGCATAGATGTTGTTCTGATTGATTGATAGAGCAGCAGGCTGCAGAGTAATGTTAATGTTATGGAGGACCTATCAAAGATATAGAACGATAAAGCAATTTGATGGCATTGCTCCTCATGATGTTATTTTGGTTCTTGATGCGAATACGCTCAAAATGCTTATAGCTAATTAGAGGCATTTAATAAAATGGTTAGTTAGTGTTACAGGATTTACAGTGCCAGTGCTTAGCGCAGTTAAAATTAATAGTCTAATTCATTTTTTTAGCATAATTCCATTGATTTTTCGCTTGATTTAAGTTAATAAGCTTTTTATTTTATGATTCAGTTATCGATTTATTATTTATAATTGATATTTAATGGTATTTATAATTATATTGCAGTAAAAACCTTCTAGAAATTAGAAAATCATGTCGATTTTTTAGCAAAATGCATAGAAAATCCATAATTCATCCATAATTCAACGAAATTTCGATTTTGCTGCTGTTCAAGAACCTTAAAATTATTAAATTCATTATGCAAACTAGTTGAAAATGACATATAGCAAGAATTTGAAAGCATTTCAAAAACAAAATTGATGGCCAAATCCATTTTTTTGTTGGAAATATGTATTATTCTATCGATGTTTCTCTTGATTTAGGTTAATCAACTTGTATTTTATGATTTAGTTATCGATTTATCATTTATAATTGATCTAGATTTGTAATTTTTATTAATTTTGTGGCAAAAAATTAGTTGAAATCATTGCTAAACACAAATATTATTAATTTTTACATTCTAAGATTGCTCCAGAGTGAATTTATTAAACTTTCTTTTTTGCATAAGTTGTCAAATATTCATGACAGAATGTGTTAATATTTTAAATATAACACTGAAAATTTTGTTTTGTTTAGATTGAAAAACAGATGGAAACAAATAGATCTGTTAATATGAAAATTTCCCAAAACAGGAAGAGTTCACTCATTTCTAATTCACTTTTTATTTTACAATATTTCTTGTATATGTTTTTTCTTAGAGATTAAACAACTATACTCTTCTAACAGGCAAATAATTTGCGATTTATGCCATGAAAATTCCATTACATTTCATTGTATTAGAAGCAAAACAAACAGTTAATAACATGCCTTCAATAAATTTAACAAGCATTTGGCAGAATAAAAAAAAGTATACCATTATATTTGGAAGATCACAACAAAATATACTGAATATTAAGTGAGCTCTATATCTTCTCATATGTGCTGAATAATTTGTAAAATTCTCAAATGCTGTAAAATGGACAAATTATAGTAAAGCACATAGGAAGGAACAAGTACAATCAGATCATTTGGAAGACCCTCTCCTATTATTGAGAATAATAATGTAAAAATTTAATACCCTTATTATTCTATAATTTCGGGAAATATCAGTTTTTTTTTTTCACTGTGATGACAGGATTTCCGCATAATTATTGCATGTCTTTTTTTTTTTTAATTGCTACCAAGCAGCAATCTTTTAGGCGGCTTTGTAGTTTACAGCTTCCATTTAAAAACAATTGTTCTACACACAGATAAGCATTAAAATTAACCCACTGTTTTTATTACAACAAATTTTAATTTAAATTCGAAAGTGACATCATAAAATGTCACTAATCAATATACAATCATACAAAACAACATATGCAATATGCCTACAACAAAAGCAGGACAACCCCGGAAATCAAATAAAACAACAAGGGGAAAACCCGAACATATGTATTTCATGTATCTACCAAAATGACTTCGAATTTCATCAATAGTAAAATTTCATTTAACTTAAACAAGGCTTTAAGATTAGAAATAAGCAACAGGATGTAGCATGCAACTTATGTTAAAGGTCTAAAAATTCGAAGCTGAGCTTCCGTCCCATTTCAAATCCATCAATTGGTTGAGACAATATTTGCAATGTACTATAGAATTGCTTTTCTTCATAATGTTTTTAAAGCGACAAAAGTAAGCCGCTTACTTAAAACTTTCGTAAGCTATTTTTGAGCTCTTTACATAATTCATTCTGGAATATCAAAAAATTCCAAATGTCATTTGTGAGAAAGGTGAGTGACATGATGTTTCACTGCTTCTTAATGACTAACCATGGAAACAGTAAATAATATTCATATTTACTAGAAAAAATAATATGAAAAATTGACTGAATAGTTTTAAAGAAGAAACTTTTTCTCTTTAATAAGACAACCACCGATAGAGAATTAGAAGGAAAACAGCTGTCATAGAAAGATAATTAACAGAAAAAACATTCAGTTACCAAATTAAAATTTATAATTACTATCATTTTTGGCGCCAATTACGATCGTCGTCAGCTGCTCCTCTACGCTGCTGATGCTGAGATATACCACGAACTGAAAGTGAAATCCAATAAAAAAAATAATGCATGAGCTTGAAAATGAGAATGTCAGACTTTCCCGCTACGAAATTATGAAAGTTACACCAATGAGAAAAGCAGATAACACAAGGTATAAGCGGATATTTTTTCAGATCTGCTATCTTTAAAATATAGAATAAGTTGTTCTCGACCTAAATTCTGAACAGTCGAACTATAACTTAGTTCTAAAGTGCATTTAAAATTAGAAAAAACTTACAAGACTGTGCACCATGGCTATCACCAGTACGTTGTATAGATCGATTCCATTTACCTATACTTGGTTCATTACTACCACTTCCTTCTAATATTCTTCCAGATGGAGCACCGTTTACAGGTGCACCATCTGCTTGACGTAACCTCGAAGGGCGCCACGGTTGAGTTGTGGGAGCTAAATGATTTACAGATTATAAAG